CACGATCACTACCTGCCATGTGATTTTCACCAGTCGTGTGAATGCATGCAACTAAATACTAGTACTCTGTCTCATAATACATAGCGGAATAATTATTTTGTATTTATTCACATTTGACCATTAATCGTATTACAGCATGGATTGGATCTTTGTTTTTTGGTGTTGGAATCATCAGCAACGCAATATCCCTAGCGCTGAGTAACAAGTTTGGACACCGACCAGTGGTCATCACGGGTGGCGTACTATCAGCATGTGGGCTGGTGCTTTCTGCCTTTACTACCACCATACACCAACTATATTTTACATATGGAGTTTTTACAAGTAAGTATCAGTAGAAGTATCAGTACAACCATTATCGTCGCTCGTGTTAGTTACTACCAGCTGTCTACGTTTACATTGAATTTATTAGGAGGATAAGTGATATATTACAGAGCGCGTGACAACCGACTCATACGTACAGTATTAATGGAACAATGAAATATAAATACATCTACTCACTGCGCATGATTAATGGCGCACGTCATACCTGCCGTTCCGGAATGTTCCGAGTTACTATGCACCAGTACTGGCATTTTGAACTACAGACTTGCGTCACAAGAATGTGTTTCTACTGGCTTTATACAAATACTTCAAGCACTGAGACTTGCTATTTATATTGATCAGTTTCGAGATTTTTTTTCCTCCGGGAAATATAAAATAAATTAATACTATTTTTATGCAGGTGGTTCAAATAATACATGCGTCGAATGCGAAATTGCTATAAATAAATCAATCCACACGCGATACCCAGAAATCTTAAAAAATCGTATAGACAACGTCGTTTTACTTTACCTTGATAGGTCTATCAAAATAAAGACTTTTTTAGGAAAATGGTTCCACTGATAATTTAAAATATTTATTTTGAGCACGCGAGTTCAAGTTAAAGCCGGGATGTATTACCTAGCTATTTGCGATCACCCATCACCCGTCATGATCGACGTGACGGGTGTCTGCAGGTTGTTGAATTGTCGCAACCCAGACCTTCATTTCATTTCTCGGCTCAGACATTGTCAAATGACGGTAAACATTGTGTATGCACATTTAGACACGTTATAAAACACCGATACAAATACCAATGGATTCATATACAAATACCAATGTATTCATCAGATATTCCACAGATAACTGAACAAATTTTGTAAAGAATCAGCCTTGTCTTAGCTATATATAACTGTAAGATATTTTGTAAATCGCTATAATAATTGTAAATCAGACTTTGGTCTAACCGACCAAAAGTGTGGCGTTATATCCAATAATCCACGCTTCATCGTGGCATTTCATTAAACTTGAATAACTAAATAATAGACGGGGGACAACCACATGCGATTCATTTCCAGTTTCTTGCCGCTGCGCTGCAATCGCTTGTTTCATTTCATATACATATTTCTCACCATACGAAATACTTATGAAACTATAATTATTTTATTTGTAGGTTTAGCTTTTTGGCTTCTTCCCGTGCCCTCTCTGGCATTAGTTGGAAAATACTTCAAAAAGAGGTTATCTATGGCAGTTGGACTTGCACTGGCTGGTACGGGTGCGGGACAGTTCTTGTTTTCCCTTGTAATCCAGATATTATTAGACACTTACGGATGGCGGGGGACTATGATCGTTCTCGGTGGGTTATCGCTAAATATCTGCGTGGCGGGTGCACTGTTCAGACCGCTGGAAGGATACCAGACGAAAGTAACCCTGGAAGACAGAGGGTACAAAGAAATAAACAGGCCGCGCGTACGTATTAATTCATCGGATAGCCACTCGAGAAAAAATATCGCCGCTCGGTACGCAGTGATACAAGAGGTTTCGGAGGAAAGCGACGCCGACAGTGTGGATGGCATTGTGTTTACGACCAAAGGGTGTTCCAGTGACTCTGTGCCCCATAATTTAAACGTGGAACACGAAATTTCCTATAGAGACGTAGAACTCGATGAACATACCAAGACAAAGAAATCGTGTTGTTGTCGTTGTAAGTTCCTTTGGAACAAATTTGGTGCTATTTTCCGATCCATGTATGACGTCACATTGTTTAAGAGCCCAGTATTTCTGTTGGTGATGCTGACTGTATTTGGATATTCTTCTTCACAGTACGCCATCATCGCACACGTGGTGGGTGCCTTTTGTTTTTATTTGACCACCACTGTTTAAGCATCGCATGTGAAACACGTAGACTGCCTCTGTAAACGCATGACTGTTTGCACGAGCAATCCTTCTGTCTACAGCATGCATCGTGCTTTTTCTGCAAGAACCTAATATAGAATTGAATAACAACGTGTTATATTTCAGTTGAAAATTACCGATGCCTGCATACAATTGTCGTAGTGTAGTTTACATGTATTAAGATTGTTATTCAATTTACCCTGCAGTATCAGTGTTATCCTGACCTGGAAGTAATGCATATGCAATGTCATCAACAGGTTAAACGTGGCCGAGATTTTGGTATTCCCAGCCTGAAGAGTTCAAGTTTGCCCGCTATGATGGGACTGACACAGTGCTTTGGTAGAATATTTTGGGGAGTAGGAGGAGCCTTGTTGAAAGTCAAACCGTATATACTTTACGGGGCTGGTATGGGTATCGGCGGTCTTGCTGCAATTGTCAGTGTCTACATAAGAAATTACGAAGGTAAGTGAGCAATACAATCTTAATTACCTGATTATCTTAAAGCTCATCTCAATTTTGTGTTCACGAATATTTGTCCAAAATCAACGGGTTACGTTTAAGCAACTTTTCTCTCAATAATAGACTGTCAACAGTCGGCCGTACCTAATTTAATCTATTTTTATT